CAAAAAGGTAACAAAGTAAAATAACATATGTTGCTTTGTTGAGAACTATTTTAGAGAAGAAACCTTTTTATTCTGTAAGTCACATAGTTTCAATTAATAGATTATTGTCTAGGATAATATAGAGGAATCAATATCTTGGGGTTAGATTGTATGTATATTTGGGTATCAAATGGGAAAACAATAAAACTATAATTGAAACAATATTCATGGAGGTGTGTAAGATTAGCATTTCTAGTGGATCAGAAAGGAGAGCAAACAGCTATGGCGACTTATGATGGAGGAGGGTTATCTGTCTGTGTGTTACTTTCATTGGTTAATAAAGAAACTGCCTTGGCCCTTTGATAGGACAGAAAATTAGGTAGGTGGAGTAAACAGAACAGAATGCTGGGAAGAAGGCAATGAGGCAGTCGCCATGACTCTCCTCTCCGAGACAGCCGCAGGTTAGAATCTTCCTGGTAAGCCACCACCTCGTGGTGCTACACACATTAACAGAAATGGGTTAAATCAAGATGTGAGAATTAGCCAATAAGAGGCTGGAACTAATGGGCCAAGCAGTGTTTAAAAGAATACAGTTTTCGTGTAATTATTTTGGGTAAAGCTAGCCGGGCGGGCAGTGGGAAGCGGTTTGCCGTTCCTTCTACAGACTTACACCTGAGAGAACCAACTGTTCTCGAGGCTGAGGTGAGAGGATCCCTTCAGTTGGGACAATATAATAAGACCACATCTGTTTTTTAAAAATAAGTAGTGTTTAGGACATTTCTAAGCACCCATAATTCGATGTTATAAGTGTAAGATTATTAAAAGCAATAAAAATGTAAACATGCACATTTATTTTACCGAAGTGTGGGGCATTTTATCTGTCAGTGACTGATTCACTCCTTACTTATCAAGATGGCCCCTCAGGACTGAGGGGGAACCCAGACAACACTCGAAGGCTTTGACACAAGTACAGAAGAACATCTCTGTGTGTCCCTGCTTTATGCTGGTTGCTGGCTGAGTTGGTTAGAACAACACATTATGGTGGGCAGCTCTGGTTTGCTTTTTATGGCCGTGATAAAATGCTGACTAAGAACAACTTGGGGAGGAAAGGGTTTCTCTGGCTTGCGCTTCCACATCACCGTGCATTATCTAGGGAAGCCAGGGCAGGAGTTCAAAAAAGAAACTGAAGAAGAGACCATGGAGGAGTGTTGATTTCTATCTTGCTTTCCATGGTGTCCTTAGCTTGCTTTCTTATACAACCAGGACCACCTGCCCCACAGCCATGACCAGAGGCCAATCTGATGGAGTCAATTTCTAAATTAGGATTCCTCCTTGCAACAAGGCTCGACAGTTTGTGTCGAGTTGACATGAACTAACCACAGGGCCACATGATCAATGTGAATTGGCACAGGCCCAAAGAACTTGATCTTGTAAGATTTTGGCAAACACAGCACTTATCAGATGAAAGTGATTCTATTTTCTATAGCATATTTGACATTGATGATGCACACATTGGGGGCTGGAATTCTGCCACACCCACTGGCATCTAATGGTGCAGGTCATATCTTAGTGCTGAACACCCTGAAACACGCTGCAGGCTGTACCACGTAAAATTAATCCTTCCAAAGTGTCCACTGGGCCGAGATGAGGACTGTAGTAGCATCCACGCCCATTGCTTCCAGCCATCCACTTCAGATTAGCGTCCCTCTGGCCAAGTTGGCCATTTCAGTCATGTGCTTTTAATTATAAACTGGATATATTTTCTATATTTACTCAATAGCCGTGCATAGGACATTTTTAGAGACAAGGGGAGATAAAGAGGGAACAAGTATTGCTTGTTTTTCCCCCCCTGTGGGAATTAATACACTTTAGGTAAAATAATTTTTCCCAGCTAAGAATGATATTAAAGAAAAATAAGCACTCATTCGCGGAGCTTGTTAGTTGCCCCGGGGGTGAAAGAATAACAAGTCTGGAACAATTGAAATCATAGAGAAGCCCAAAACCCAAATCACAGAAGACTGAGTGACTGGAAGCAGGCTGTAATTGCGCTAAGGTAACTGCTGTACAATGGGCGTTCCCTGCATTCTTACTGGGTAGCTCCTATCCCAGACTCTCCACCTGAGGTGAGCTTGACCTGTCCTAGAGAAAACCCCACCCGTGTCCCACTGCACGCTGCTGCTGTGGTTGGCAGTCTCGGGCTTTCTCAGCGGAATCTGAAAGCGTTCACTGAAGACCATGGGCTCCAGGCCAAGAAACAGCCTGAGACACTGGGTTCTTGCTTTTTGGTTTTGGTTTCCGCCTAGCCAAGTGCTCTGACCTTTCTCTGAGGTTCTGTCAGGATCTGGTGAAAAGCCTGCAGAATCATTTTGACGAGCCTAATGCTGCTCGCAAAGGTGCACGCTGGGTGGACCTGGTTTTCTTGTTTTGGTTGAAGAGGGTAGGAAGTAATATGATCACAGTACAGCTTCTTTGGTATTCATTTTAAACAGTCTTCGAGGCTTAGTTCTTGAAGAAAGAACTACCCAATGTGCTATCAAGCTATCACATGCCAGATACACATTCTTAGATATTTACACATTTCATGTAACCTAACAGGTCTCTTGAAATGTCAGGCATAGTTATTTCTTTATTTTTATTGATTGATTTATTTATTTTAGGTATAATTATTTTGTAGGGTTTGGAAAATATAAAGAAGAACTAAGAAGAAAGTAGAAATTGTTTTAGGGTTTTATTGCTGTGAAGGGACACTGTAACCACTGTAACCATGACACTCTTAAAAAAGAAAAACATTAAATTGGGTTGGCTTACAGTTCAGAGGTTTAGTCCGTTATCATCATGGTGGGACATGGTGGCTGCAGGCACACATGGTGCTGGAGAAGGCGCTCAGAGTTCTACAGCTTGATCTACAGGCAGCAAAAGGAAACTGTGTGCCACAGCATACATAGCTTGGGCATATGAGACCGCACAGTGACACACTTTCTCCAACAAGGTCACACCTCCTAATAGTGCCACTCCCTATGGACCAAGTATTCAAACACATGAGTCTACGGGGGCCATTTCTATTCAAACCATCACAGAAATTATTTGTGATAGTCTATAGCTTTGTGCCCAAAGATAAGCATTATTTAATAGTCTTTCCATAAAGCACAATTTTAAAAGAAAATTTTTATTTCACAAAATGTACACATGCACACATTATATATATATATTTACACACACATATATGTATATATATGTACACATATGTATATGTGTGTGTATGTATATACATGTGTGTATGTATGCATGTATTCCAGTTGGGCCCTAAACTTATGACATTTCTTTCCCATTTTCCCAAGTGTCATTGTGCCTGGCACAGATTTTTATTGGCACTAATTTTTGTATTTGGAAGCTATATTTCCTAAAGTTTACTCAAAATGCTCTTAGAGACTGAGGAGATGGCTCAGCCGGTCAAGTCCCTGCTGTGCAAACCTGAGTTCGGATCCCCAGTATAAAAGCTCTTATGTTTTCTTAAAACTCCATGAAGTTATGATCTGTCTTTTAATTAGTAAAACCCACATATAAGCACACTAAGATCCATGAAGCTTGTCAGTTCTAACTCCAATGGTCTCTGAAATTTCCCTGCTTTGCTGCGTATGTGCGACACGTTTGGCACCAAGGCCACACTTATGCACTGGTTACCCTTCCCATGCCTGCCCCATTCCCAGAGCAACCACAGTGACATTTTAATCATATCATTCATAATTATCTGTTTCCCTGCTAAGGGGGCTCCAAAGGCTTTTTACAGTATTTGGAGTGGAAGTCAAATCCCTTCTTGGCACCGTCCTCAAGCCCTGAACGCCCCCCTCCCCCGTTTCTTGTAATACTGATCTTCAGGATCATCTTTCTCTCGCTTTTGGCCACAGCAGCCCAGTATGATTCCATTTGCCATTGCTATAATGAAATACACGATATAGGCTACCTAAAGAGAACCAGACATTCCTGCAGATCACAGTTTGGGAATATGAAAGCCCACTTAGCATTGGACCTGTTCTGGTGGGCGTTCCCTTGGCTGTACCACTTCATGGCAGACAATGGGAAGCCAGAAGCCCTAGAGGGGGGCAGGTTTTAACTTTTTGAAGAACCCATTTATTCACAAAGGCAAACCAGGCTCTGAAAACAAATACCTCAGTGTCTTCCAAGGACGTCATCCCCAGAGTTATCATAATCTCTCACATATTGCGGTTTGGTCTTTGTACTCATACTGATATGTAATAACCTTGACTATTTATTGTTGGCCTGTTTTTAACCTCTTTCTCCTACTAGAAAAGAAACTGTTTTGCGTGGGTGCCTTATATGTTTTGTATATTATCAAAACGCACCAAAAACACGTGCAGTAGAAACTCCACACAAGGGCCCAATACTGCTACCCTAGGGACCAAGCCTCCAACACATGGACATGGGTGAAAAGTAACCCTAGAGAACTCCCTTTGTGTTCTGAGCCCATGCATTCATACTCAGTCAGTGAGTTGTGGAAATAACAAAGCTTGTTGTGGTGATATTTTGTTTCTGCTTTAACAAATAAAGTTTACCTGAAGATCAGAGAAGAGCAGTCAGCCACTAGTTCTTAACTCTACAAATCCCTCAGACTGAATAAAGTATCCTCCACAAGTTCTCAGACTAAATCCTTTGCTCCTGTCTCTCCCCGCCTTATAGTCCTCTCTCTGTCCAGTCGTATCCCTTCCTGTCTCCACCTCCCTAAGTGCTGGGACTAAAGATGTGAGCCACCACCACTTGACTCTGCTTTTCTTTTAGACTGATTCAATCCCATGTAGCCCAGGGTGGCCTTAAACTCACAGAGATCCATCTGCCTCTGTTTCCTAAGTGCTGGGACAAAAGGTGTGTGTCACCATTGCCTGGCCTCTATGGCTAACTAGTTAGTAGCTTACCTCTGCACTCTGATCTCCAAGCTTTATTTGTTAAAACAAAATATCACCACAGCCTGTACCTTCATACTAATCTGAACCAGAAAGCCTGCATACCAGGAGAGCTGGTGATGTAATGCGCATCTTCATCCACAAAGGTAGAAGACCGATGTGCAGTTCAATGGGACAGCAAGGTAGCAAACGGTCCATGCTCCGCCTTCTGGTTGCATGGAGGTCTTCAGTAGATTACATTGTGTCCCTTGCTACAGTGTGAACCCACAGGCTCACTTGTCTGAATCAATAGTTTTCAAATGGTGACACTGTTCCAACAGTTGGGGAACCAGTAGGGAGTGGGAGCCTTCATGGAGGAAGTGGGTGCCCGGTGAGTCAGATGCTGTGGATTGTAGTTAGGACCTGGTTCTAGCTGGCGTCCTTCAGCCTCATTATTGTCCCTCAGGATATAGTCAGGGGCTGCACACACTTATCACGATGTCTTCCCCTTCTCAATGGTCGAGCTCTCCTCAAGCAATGAGACAAAGTAAGTCACTTGAATAAGCACCTTCTAAAGTTGCTTCTTGTCAGGTGTTCACGCCCAGTAAGGAGAATATAACCAAATCACCCATCGTCCCGGGAGGTTATCAGTGATTACTTGGTCTATTGATTTAAACGTTAATCTCATCTAGAAATAAACCTAAAAATATGCCCAGAACAATGTTTAACCAAATATCTGGGTTCTGCATGGCCCTGTGGAGTTGACACCTCAAATAACCACATCAGGACCGTTTCCTGCCTCTAGACCACCCTAGCGTTTCACACAGTCAGTTTGTTGTTTTTTTCTAAATTCTTTTAGAAAGCAGCATCTCAGACTCACCTTGTGAAACTGAGATCTCTCAGATCTCCCCCCAGAGTTATCATAATCTCCCACATACTGCAGTTTGGCTTACATTGTTCATACTGACGTATAATTACCCTGACTATTTACTGTTGGCCTGTTTTTTAACCTCTTTCTCCTACAAGAAAAGAAACTGTTACAATATCAGAACCCACCAAAAACATATGCAATAGGTAGTTTTGTTTTTACATCAATGAAGGAATTAGACACCTGGAGAATGTTAGATCATCATTCATTTATAGGTTTGGGTTTTCTGTTTTGTTTTGTTTTTATTTTTTGTTTGTTTGTTTTTTTGAGACAGTGTCTCTCTATGTAGACTTGGTTGTTCTGGAACTAATCTTTAAAAGTCCTCCTGAGACAAATTTTCCTTCTATAAAAATTCTAAGCAATATCTGTAGCTAAATCCTGCTTCAGGGACTGAGTCCTATCTACCCTCTTTTGCTGACTATTTGTAGTGACTGTGTGCCAGAGAGTAAAGGCTGGAAAGAACCGACAGTGAAACATCACATGGGAAAGCCCACGGGCACCATGTTCATCGAGTGACCATGTGGATGCCATGCCATGAAAGGGGCCCACAGACACCATCTTCACCAAGTGATCATGTGGATGTCTCACCATGAAAGGGGTACTCAGGAGAACATAGTTCGGCATTTCTTCTGCAAAATTCTGAACAAAAATCCCAACTTCAATCATATCCTAAAAAGAGATCACAAGAAATCAAGCAGAAAGTAATCACCCAACATTCATTCCAAGGTGAATATTGGAAGCAAATACATTCTAGGTTAGATTCTGGAGCAGACAGGGGGCATTAGTGGAAAATCAAAAAAAAATCTTAGGTTTATAGTTAAAAAATGTGTTCATGATAGTTTTTATAGTGTTAAGCTATAGACTACAGTGATAAAAGATGCTAACAAAATGAAAAAGGATGATCAAGTTTTATGATAATTCTAGCATCTCATAGCTCTTCTCCAAGCATACCCTAAAATAAAAGTTTCCTTTTGCTAGGTGTGGTAGTGCATATTTGTATTCCTAACAGTTAGGATGCCAAGGATGGGGGATCAGAGGTTTGGGGCCAGCCAGGGATACACAGTGGGTTCCAAGCCAGACTGAGCTACAAAGCAAGATGCCACAACAAAGCACTGCCACAACCACCACCAAAAGCAGAAGGTGTTTGCCTTAAGAGATGGCGATCACAAGAATCAGAACCGAAATAAACCACACTCTTTAACCTTTAACAAAAAGAAAAAAATACTTAAAGGAACACACATACACTGCTGGCAGTATTCAAAGTACATTAAAAATTTTTCCTTTTTTTTTTGTTAGTAAACATATACATAGAATGGTGACCACCATTTAAAAACAACTAAGTTCCCCAGGTCTCAACTCTTTATTCTCCATGTCTCCCCACCCCCTATATAATGTGTGTGTGTGTGTGTGTGTGTGTGTGTGTGTGTGCAGGTGTGCAGGTGTGCTCACCCATGCATGCACATGCTGAGGCCCAAGGTGACACTGCTGTCTTCCTCTACTGCTCTGGGCCTTGTTTTCTGAAGGTCTCTCATTGAGTCTAAAGCTTGTTGAACCAGCTATCCTGACTGGCCAGTGAGCCTCCGGGATTCTCCTGCGGCTGCCTCCCTGATGGCTGGTTCCAGTGGTGCAGTTCCACACCTGGCTTTCACGTAGTTGCTGGGGGCCTGGATTCAGGCTGTCATGCTTGCGCACTAAGCATCTTACCAGCAGCGTCCATTCTTTCTTTCTTCCATCATCATGCTTTAAAATCCATAGAAGATATTACGTGAAGGGATTTAAAACACTCTGACACTAAATGATTGTTAACGCTGAAATCGTTTTAAAAGTTTCACCGTGAAATTACTCTCAGTTGTTGACAAGCTCTAAGCTTGCTTTTCTTTTGCACCAAAGCCAGAAAGACTTTTGGAAAGAGACTGGTAGTCAGCCCTCGGATGCAGAGATGCTGCATCTGCTGTCCCGCTGAGCTGTTAGACGGCAAGTACTACCAAGAAGTTATGCAAGTATGTGAACTGGTTCTTTCCAGAAGGTACTGCCTATTAAAGAACAAGGGTTATTTAGCCCTTGAATGATTACTCAGGCAGTTAAACCCCACCCAGGAATATTTTCTGTTGCATTTACTTGTATAATGCCAAAATAACAGATAAGCTACTAAGGAAAATATCCTGGATTTTTATTTACCCAGAAATATTTGAGAAATTAATGCAGGAGAAAAAAAAAACGTATTGAGTTGATTTAATTTCTTTAGCTGCACAGAACCACAGATCAAAGTCACAACAGGAAAAAAAAGATTTATCACAGATTAGAGAAGATTTTTTTAAAAATGTAATGAATTATGAAAGATTGGACCCCGGATCAGACCTTAGGACAGAAAGATAAAGTTTGGGAAAAGTCAATGAAATGAGGTCAAGGTCTGTTATTTAGTTCACAGTTCTACCTCAGTGTTCTCTCTTGTGTTTTGGTAGTTATAATATGGCTAACTTGTAAACACTAGGGGGAACCCGGCAAAGAACAGAAACAACTTTATGAACTACTTGGCCATTTTTGCATCTTCTGTGAGTCTGAAGTGGTTTCGAAATAAAAGGACTGTCGAATGTGTCCTGGAAAATTCCTCAGGAAGCTGTTACTTGCAAACGAGGTTCATTGTTTCCCCAGAGCTCCAAGACAGTTTTCCCCCAGCTTTGAAGACAAATGTTGCTTCTTCAACTGAGCAGTAGAGAAAGTACAATGGTTGACTGATACCGCAGGAATATTTGTGCAAATATACAGATTTCAAATCTAAACGCGGCTCCTACCTGTAATCCTAGCACTGGGAAGAGGCAGGGTCAGCGGGATAGTGGGACCAGCCTTGGTTACAAAATAAGGCAATAGTATCTCAAAAAAATTACATATTTCAAAATACTATACTTGTACTCTTTTCTTAGAGATGCTTTTCTTAGAGAGCTATTGATACATATTTCTCCTTAATATTTATTCCAGGGCATCTGCTCATTGAGTAAAAACTAGGCTGAACTTTCTAAAGATAATCATCTTTATGAAACTTAAAACTGAAAAAAATTCCCCTATCTTTTTCCCCTATTAAATACATATAGTTGAATGCTGATTCTTTTTTTAAAATTATTTATTCTTCTCTCATATATTGCATACCAACCGAAGTTTCCCCTCCCTCTTTTCCTCCCAGCACCCCCCACTATCCCATCCCCTCTCCCTAATATCCACTTGTCCTTTCTTTTCATGAAAGGGCAGGGCTTCCAGGATATCAATCAAACCTGACGTGTCAAGTTATAACAAAGCTAGGCACATTAAAGATGCATGAGGCAACCCAGTAGGAGGTAAGCCAAAGGCAGCCAAAAGACTCAGAGTTGGCCCCTCCTCCCACTTTCAGGATTCCCATGGGAACACCAAGCTACACAATCATAGCATATATGCTGAGGACGTAGGTCAGATTCATACAGGCTCTCCGATTGTTGAGTGTGAGGCCCTATGAGCCCTCATTAGTTAAATTCTGTGGGCCTATTTCTTGTAGTGTCTTGGTCACCCACCCCTGGCTGGCTCGTACAGTCCTTTCTCCAGAATTGCATTCTCCAGGATTCCCTGTCTTCTCTAGGATTTCCAGAGTATACTTCTCAAGTATTCGGCCTAATATTTGGCTGTGGGTCCCTGATGCGGGAGTCCCCTCTGTGTGCTGTGATTACCATTACTGAATAAAGAAACTGCTTTGGACCTATAGCAAGGCAGAACTTAGGTAGGCAGGGAAAACTAAACGGAATGCCGGGAGAAAGAAGGTGGAGTCAGAAAGAAGCCATGGAGCCACCACCAGAGTCAGCCATGCCGAAACCTTGATGGTAAGCCACTGCCACGTGGTGATACACAGATTAATAGAAATGGGTTAAAGTAATGTAAGAGTTAGCAGATAAGAAGCAAGAGCTAATGGCCAAGAGGTGATTTAATTAGTACAGTTTCTGTGTGATTATTTCAGGTCTAAGCTAGCCAGGTAACCAGGAACCAACAAGTGACTCCTCCTTCCCACTACAGGGCTCTCCAACCGCTCCCATTATTTGTTGGATGAAGTGTCTCTGATGATGATTATGTAGACTGTGGTCTACAAGCATGGCAGAGTATCATTAGCAATCATTTCATTGAATGTTAATTCTTTAAGTTCTGATGTGATGGGGCTGGAGACATGGCTGCTCTTCCAGAGGACCTAAGGTTCAATTCCCAGCACCAACTTGACAGCTCAAAACTGTAACTCCAGTTCCAGGGATTCACAAGACTTTACACAGGCACACATGTAGACAAAACACCAATGCACATACAAATTAAATAAAAAGAAATAATAAAAGGAGGAGACAGGTGTAGTAGAGCGCACTTTTGATCCCAGCACTCAAGAGACAGATGCAGGCAGATTTCTAAGTTTCAGGTTCAAGACCAGCATCCTAGGACAGTCAAGGTGACATAGTGAGATCCTGTCTCAAAAAAATTTAATGTCATATGACCACTGTTATCCAACAGAGAAACAAACATACAGGGATTTTGCTAAATACCACATGCTTTCCCATTAATTTCCTCTT